AATGTGGGTGTGGTCACTCTTAGCTTCATTTCTTCCCATAGACCTTACTGGCATGGGTGTCCCTACCAGGAGCTTGTGCTCCAGCCTGCATTGCTCTATGGTTCAGTAAAATTACTGGGCTCTCCCACCACGACCAGGTGGTGACCATGGGAGAGTTGTTATTATTAATAATATTAAACAGACATTAATTCGTGCGTTTATTAAAATTTATGAACTTTAATTCACTATAGAGTGTATAGTGTAAAAATATACTTTTCTACTACTATTAAAATAATTCTACTCATACCTTTTCAATGTGATATTTGTGCCTGCTTAGCTGCACACAGACGGCTGATCCATGGTGGAATGCTAGTCTCATTTCTTCATCGACGGATTTGAGTCTCTTTCTCTTTGATGTTTTAATTTCAGTCAATGTCAAGAAGCCCAGTTCACACAAATACGTAGTAGAAAATGGCAATAACATATTAACTGCCATCTTGGAGATAGCCAGGTATTCACTCCTTATTGCCAACCAAAATGTATCCAAAGGCACTTCGAGGAGTTGTAATTTCAATGTTTTGTCTGCTTTTAATTCCGTGAGTTCCTCTTGTAAATGAATAGGTAGAGATCTGAAATTGCAACAAATGGATTACGAACCCAGTCGATATCTTCAACATTGTCTCCAAAATACTTCTTGAATCTCTGCTGCAGGATTTGTAAATGTTCTTTAATTAGATCCATCATCACTTTATTACCGGAAGCAAGTGACCATACAGTCGAGAACATTTCAAATGAACCATTTTCAATTCTCTGTATCCACAAATTTAGCTTATTCACAAATCCTTGAATCTTATCTATACTAGTAAGAATATTTTCGTTCCTACCTTGCATTTTTCTGTTCAGTTCATTCAAGTGTATGAAAATATCAGAAAGATATGCCAACTTACATACCCATTCATCATCTGCAAATAAATCCACGTATTTGTGCCTTTTTACAGTCAAAAATGCTCGTACCTCGTCTTTAAGTTCCAATATTCGTGTTAATACTTTTCCTCTTGATAACCACCGTATTTCTGTATGTAACAGGAGTGTGGTTGGTGTGTTCTGATTCCATTTCCTGATACAAAACAGAAAATAGCTGAGAATTTAGGGGTCGCAATTTGACAAAATTTACGACTTTTACTACTTCGTCCAGCACAACTTTCAGAGAAGGTGGCAAAGATTTAGCAACAATGGCTTTGCGGTAAATAAGACAATGATTGCACCGTACGTTAGGATTAATTTCACGTACTTGAGCTACAAATCCTTTCACTCGGCCTGTCATAGCTGCGACTTCGTCTGTACAAACACTAACACAGTCCTTCCATTTTAATTCATTTTGGAGCACATATTCATTAGTTACACGAAATATTTCTTCACCGGTGGCTCGCTCGGGAAGTTGTTTGCAAAAAAATAAATTAGTTGCAATTACATTGTCATCGATGTATTGAATATAAGCAAGAAGTTGTGCGTGGCCGCTACTATCAGTGGACTCATCGATCTGAAGTGAGAACTTTCGACTGCTGTTGATTTTCTCCTTCATAATGTCTTCAATGTCACTGGACATCTCAATAACTTGGCAACTGATTGTGTCAGCAGAAAGAGAAATTTTTGATATTTCACTAGCAACTTCTGAACCCAGGACTATTTTCACCATCTCTTTACAAGCAGGCATTAATAACATTTCAGCTATTGTATGTGGTTTTTTGGCCTTTATGTTAAGTTCGGCTACTTTATAGCTAGCTTCCTGTACTTTGTCCGAAACACACACAGCCGATTGCAGAGATAGAATTTTCGTTAAACGATGTTTATCAACAGAACTGCCTATAGACGTTGGCTGGCTGAACCGCGGTTTAAAATGCGCTGCAAAGACGACAATCATCTATTTCTGATCGTTATCTAAACGAACTTTGGCAAAACATTGGCTTTTACTTACTTCGCTATTACTTCCCCGTTTTAGGAGTCGTTCGGCCAATCGGGTTATTCGTTTGTGACGTCAGAAATGGTGGCCAGCTATATTCCTAAAGCTTCCAGAAATAAAATCTTAAGGCCGTCAAAACCATTGTTCGGCAATTAATGGCAACTCTTTTCCATTTTGATATTTAATTTTGTCGCCAATGCGGTTTAAAATACGAACAAATCCATATTTAGAAAATTTATACCAAATTCGAAATTCGTCTTCGGAATAGATTTTTAAGGATTTCGACATCTTATTACTATCGAAATGAATAATTTTAAATATTTTATTATTAATATTACATTTTTTTATATCTATAAATAAATTTCTGTAATTATTAAAATTGTCTCGTTTGTTTAACAGTAAAATGACTCTGAAATGCATTAACGTTTTATAACCGACACGACACTCGAATTGTGAATAAATGCATCTGATTTAAATTAATTGAAGTTTTAAGTCTTCACCCATTTGAATTTCGAAATTGGAACATTTAAAACAAATTTAAAGTATTTAATTTTGTTGTTTTTGCTTTAAGCAATTAATTAATGAATAATTTTGTCGATTCGTACCATTTACAGCATTTATCAAAGGAACGATATCTGTTTTTATCTAAACTTTTCCACGAACAAAGCTACCACTCGAATTGAAAAGCCCTCTAAACCTGCTATCGAGGAAGTCTAGAAAGTAGGTCAAATAACTTGTTTCTAATCGCTGTCTGCATTGTGGCAGGTGAGAAACGCCGATAATATTAAACAGACATTAATTCGTGAAATTGAATTCAATCAATGTTTATGCAGTGTGATGCTATTTTATTACAAAATAACTAATCATAAATAAATAAAAAACAAGCTTGAAGAGCACATTTTCAAGAAGAGCACTATTTCCCTCTTAATACAGGTATAAGACAAAATAATAGGATTACCTCTTTTGAAATGTGTTGTACTTTGACTGTCCAATACAGCCCCACCACGTGTCACAACAGTCTGCCATCTAGTGGCGGTGAAAGGGAAGGTATCAGTTGAGCATTTGGCAGTGTGACAATTGCATGAGAAAATTCTGTTCCCAGCAAAGTGCCATTATGTCCGACCTGTCTGATGTGCAAAGAGGCATGATTATTGGAGCTCGCCTCACTGAAGTGTCAGTATCTAGAACAGCCAAACTTATGGGTGTTTCAAGGTCCACTGTGTCAAGGGTTATGACAGTCTACACAAAACTGGGAAAGGTGTCTTCTGCAAAGCAGAACAGTGGGCAAAAGTTGAAGTTGACCGACCGAGAAAGACGAGTGTTGAAGAAGATAGTTGCCCAAAAAACATAAGATTACACTGCAGCAGATAACCTCTGAGATGAACACCCATCTCCAGAACCCCGTATCCACCAAAACTATTCAATGAGAGCTGCATGCTGCGAGCATTTATGGCTGAGTAGCTATCCCAAAGCCGTTAGTGTCACCACAGAATGCTATGAAGCGAGACAGTGGTGCCAAGATCACCAAAACTGGACACAACAGCAATGGGAACAGGTCATCTGGTCTGACAAATCATTATTTACATTATTCCAGACCACCGGATGTGTGTTTGTCTGGCGAATACAGGCAGAAGCATTTCGTGTTGACTGTCTGGTTCCTATCATGAAGCATAGAGGGGGCTCTATGATGCTGTGGGGAGCGATATTGTGGCGTGGCTTGGGGCTACTTGTAGTCCTGAGGGAGAAGGTCAGATGCAAGCATTATTGCAGTATTCTTGCAGATCATTTATACCCTATGCTTCATACTTTTTCCTGGAGAACGTTCTCTATTCCAAGATGACAACAGCCCTGTACACACGGCTCACTGTGTTCAAACGTGGTTGGATGAGCATAATGATGAAGTGGAACATCTCATATGGTGTCCTCAGTCCCCTGATCTCAACATCATTGAGTCTGTGTGGTGTTTTTTAGAGAACAAAGTCCATGCTTGGTTTCCTCCTCCACACACACTATCTGAACTTGAGACTGCTCTGCAGGAGGAATGGCTGCGAATTCCCTTAAACTTTCTGCACGATCTTTATTTCTCAATCCCATGTCTGATACAAGCTGTAATTCAGGCCAATGGTGGCCCAACTCCCTACTAATAAATATTTTGCATTCTTTCACAGTTGTTCCTATTATTTTGTCCTATATCTGTACCTTCTCAAGTAATCCAATACCATCTAGGGAGCAAAATCATTAATATCACTTTAAGAACCATTGTTGTAATGTGACATTGTATCTTAATCATTCATTAGGCAACTTGCAAAACTGATATACTTTTGATAGGCTTATTTTATTGAATAAACATTATATATATCGTATTTACTAAATAATCTGTGCACGCCAGTTTTTGAAACCATTATCTATTATCTTAAAAGATAAAAGATTTTTAAACCATTAGCTTAAAAGATAATGGTTTAAAAAAAAGGAAAAACTTGACCAATATAATTTATTACTTATTTAACAAATTTTATGTTTAAATTATATAAAATTACAACTATATTTTAGTTGTAACACAAAAGCAACCTTTACTCTTACTTTTTTGTAGCATTTAATACAATAATGCTCAGCAGGACTGTCAAGAGTTTGTATCAAGCCTTGAGGTAGAGACGGCCCCTTTTTTCTCTTAGTGTACCCCTTTAGTCTATTGTTTTCTGAACAAATGAAATACATAGAATGTTTAATTTAATAAAAAGCAGTCTTAACGATTTCTGTTAGTAAAAATGATGTTAATTTTATACAGATAGTAATTCCTATGTTTACTCCAAAATGCTTAATTTTGCTAGTGGAAGCACCCCAGACTTTGCAGGTTGTCACCAAATCTATTTCAAATAAACCACACACCAATTTTGTCATGATTTTTTGGGGGAAAACTGCATGGATTATGTAAATACAGTATATATTAATTATTTATTGTAGTAAATTATCTTAGAATTTTTAATTTTAATCAATCAAATAGATGACTTAAATTGTAATTATGTTAATATATATAGTTAATAAAACTATTTTTCCATCTTAGAAATGACAAAATCAAAAGTTTTAGTTGGAAATGCGTAGGAGGACTTTCGTCTTAATAGTCTCACTAGCCTTGTTTTCATGGGCAGCAGTTACATACCATCTTTTTCTGCAAAGACCACAAGGGAAGGTAAATAATATAAAAAAATTTTTAATTGTATCTTGTAAATTTAAAAATTTGTAAAAATCAAAATTATTCCTATTTTCTCAAAAAAAATTATTTTTTTTTAGAAAATAGGCATAATTTTGATTTTTCTTTACAATAATTAAATTTTTAAGTCAATATTTGAAAACAAATTATAATGAAATAAAAAAATTATTATTTATTATTGAAATGATTAAATATTTGTAAAAATTAAACTTTTGTTCAATGCAATGCAAAAGTTTGCATGGTTTTAAAACTAAAACAATGAAATTATAAATAAATTTATGTTTATATATATAAAACTGAATTTCAGTTAAGTTGTTTACAGTTAACTTTTTGACAAGACTATGTCTTGTTTATAAAATCGTACTGCCTCATGTTCTTATCAGCATAGAGGTATGAAGGAGTACATGTAGAGAATTGATATTTGGCACAGAGTATTAGGTGCCCAAATCATTTGCGCATAAAAAAAATCCAGACTTGTAGGTAGTCAGGGGACTGAGAATTGAGTCAAAGTAAAATCCAAAATGGTGACCCTCTTCTACAAACAGGCAAAACAGCCACCTCACCCCACCGAATTTAGATAGGGGAGAGTACCACCTGCAGTCATTCTAAGAAGTGAACTCTGACCTTAGGACTGAGGGTGCCTGCATGTGACCTTTGCCCTTTGACCTCACTTTGCTTTAAAACTCTAACAAGAAGAGAGATCTTTTTACTACCTTTCGATTCAACAGCCGTGCCGATTTTGGATTTATATTATATATCGACACTGTTGTAAATATCACTCTGCCGATACAAATTAAGTTTTTTAGTAAATTTTTAACGACAGAACAAAAGACATAGAACACATGGTCGAGGTCAACATGGACATCACGGACAAGGTAGGAAAGAATTTTTTCCCTTCACGTTAATTGACCTTTTGAGTCGACAATCGTGCGATCTTTGATTTATATATTGATGCTATTGTAAATATCACGCTGCTGATACAAATTAAGTAAATTATCAGTTTCTTAGTAAATTTTTACTGACAGAACATTCACCAAAAATGGCTCGGGATGACCTCGTGGTCAAGGCAGGTGAAGTTTTAATGATTGCGCTCAAAAGCAGCAATATCAAAGAAGATAGGAGAATGAGACCTGTATTGAGCATCAAATTGATTTTGTCTCCGAGACATAGTCTTGTCCCAAATACGGTTTTGCCGTTTTACTTGTGTTAAATATATTTTACCTTAATTAATAGGCCATTAGTGTGTCTAGAATTTTTTATTTAAAGTCAAATTTTTCTGAGAAAGAAACAAACAAGAAAATATTTCCAATTATTGTAATTTTTAAACAAGACTATAATCTTACACATGGAATATTAAATCATTTCAGATTACATGAATACAGTAGTTAAAATTAATGTTAAAAGAAACTCTTTTGACATTAATTTGGTAGAGAATCTATATATATAAAACTCAAAGGTGACTGACATAGTGATCTATCAATGCACAGCCCAAACAACTGGACGGATTGGGCTGAAATTTGGCATGCAGGTAGATGTTATGACGTAGGCATCCGCTAAGAAAGGATTTTGATCAATTCTACCCCCAAGGGGATAAAATAGGGGATGAAAGTTTGTATGAAACTTTGTCAATTTTAAACCGATCGGGCTGAGACTTTGCATGCATAAAGCTACTATGACGTAGGCATCCCCTAAGAAAGGATTTTGATAAATTCCACCCCTAAGGGGATAAAATAGGGGATGAAAGTTTGTATAAATCTTCTTAGATTTTCGACTGATTGAACTGAAATTAAAGATTGGAGCTACTATGATGAAGACGTCCGCTTAAATAGGATTTTGATAAATTCAACCCCCATGGGGATAAAATAAGGGATGATGGAGGATGTAAATGTATTAGTTTGAACCTATCAGTACCTAATGGAACGAATAAATTAAGACGAACAAAATAATTTTTAGTTCTAAATGTTGACAATAGATGGCGTTAGTAGTATTTTAAAATGCGCTATCGTTGTGTTTTCACTGAGTTACATATACCCGATGATGAGTGGCCGCCGTATCTAATAGTACATACTATACCTAAATATTTCTAGCGGATTATATTTGACGGGGGTTAATTAGGTATAGTTTTTGCGGAGATTATATTGTACCCTTTGTACATAGTTGTACAAAGAAGTTTTGTAGGCCCTAATTTTTTACACACGCTAAACGAAAGTAAAGCTGCAAAAACTATACCTAATTAATAATAATACTTCTTAACGCGAGCGAAGCCGTGGGCAAAAGCTAGTAATTATATATTTGTGAGAACTATGTTGTCCTCTTTATTTCTAGTGTTGTCCTCTTTATTTCTAGACCTATTACATTGTCTCTGGACACAAGACCAACCTTAAAACATCAATTTATTTTCCAAAAAAGAAGTATGCATTTCAGATCTACAGTCCCTCATCAGCTTTTTTACGAATATTTATGAAATTCACAATAAAACGTCAGCATTTGGTGAATTATCAATTTACAATCATTATGTATATAATTATACCTCTTTACATTATCATTCAATGGTAATGTAAGATTTAGTTATATACATAATGATCTAAAATCTAGAAATAAAGAGTCAACATAGTTGTCACAAATATATACCAAACTAGACAAGAAGTATATTATATTATTTAGAGAATAATTATGTTATCCTGGCAAAAATAAAAATACTTGTTTGACTTGAGCATTACATATTGGTAAAATAAATACATAAAACACTTTAATATCAATAGCTTTATCCTGTGTTATATAAGAATAAGTAGAATTTTACTTTTTATATTCAAACTTCTTTCATTTATAGTATATTGTTTATTATAATCAAAAGTTGAGAACAAATGAGCATGAGCATTCAATTGTCCACGTTTTTTCTGTAATTGTATTCAATCCTCTTATTTAACATATTTAGTTTTGATTGACTTTAATTCATTTTAATTAATATCATTACATAATAAAAATACTCTCATAGGATTCTTTTGCTTAGTCATTGTTAATCACACTACTAATTTATATTTTTCATGTTTTTAATAAGATAGCTTGCTGGAATTAATTATCTGCTTATTATATAATTTTAATTAATATATAAGTATAATTGGTTAAAATATCCTTTTTATAAAACTTATGTTAACACTTGGAAAACAATATATTGATTTATTCTGCTGATTTGAATATTCTGATATGTTTTGTAAATGCAGGATATTATTTTTATGCATGATGGCATACCAGCTCATATCAGATGATTTGTATATCAATTGCTGCAATAATGTTTCATCAAACACCGAGTGGTTAATTACTTGTTTTCAATGGGATTGTTTACTTGATTTTTTGAACTTAGTAGGAGGACATATCAAGAACTTGTTTTTTTCAGAACTATGTTTTTAACTTGATTCCCTTAAAAGACAGAGCATAATAAAATGTGCACTTTACATCTTTACATTTGTTTTTGGTTCATTTATTTTTACAATTGCACTTTCTTTTCCTCTCATATTTGTGGTACCAAATTTCTTCTTGTAAATTTTGGAACTATTTTTCTGAGCTGAAATTGCTTCCTGTTGTCTGAAGAGTATTCTAACTAAGTTTAGTTGAGTTCCATTACAAATATCTCTAGCCAACTTTCATTAGATATACTTTAATTATGATTAATCTAAGAACACTTTAAAATTAGAACTGGACAATATAAATACAAAACCACACATGAACCTAGTCAAATTCAAAATGATATACGAGATGTTACTGAATTTCCACAAAAACGTTTATATTACGAGTAAAACGTATGTACAGTTACAAAAGTTCACAAACATAAAACAATTACAATACTTCAGGTGTAACAAAGTTCCAATACTTTTAAGCCACGACAACAGGTCCGTCGAAAAGGACACCTTGTGACAAACTCCTTCAAATGTTAGTTACCGCACAGCGAGACAAAACAAACTTCTAGGCAAGCTTAGGCGAAGCTAGACGAACGTGAGTTCCCTTGATGAGTCTTAGGCGAACTGAACTTCCCGCCTAAACTCAATCCTTTTATACGGATTGAGACACGTGGAATTCCACCAATCAACACCTAGTAGCTCTAACGGAGGTCCGCAGGTCGTATGATGGCTTCCAGCCAATCCGCAGTCGAGTTTCCAAAGTTGCCTGATCTGCGTTTCCATGGTGACAACCGTTGTTCGTTTGAAAGTACGGAAAAGCGTGGGAAATCGTATGTGGGACGATTTTATCCTGACAAACCTCAAGGTCATTCCAGTAATGAAAGTAATTTAAATTTTGCAGCTATTATTTGAACATTTTATTATAGAATTCAAACATTCTAGTTTGGATCTTAACTATTCCTGATGGAGGTCTGTGATGTTGACTAGAAACATTTTAACTTCCCATTTTAAATTCCCATTCCACTTTCATTGTTGGATTGAGCTTGAGGTTCATAAGTGGTTTTATATGATTAATCAACATGTTAATTTTTTCAAAATAAGTACAGTTAAATCTCAGTTTTTGACAAAATTTGTTCCTAAAAGTTGTTCTAAAACTGGAACAAATTTTCTCATAAGAAACAGTACAAAATGGATTAATCTGTTCTTGACACCCAAAATAAAGCTTTTTTACCTTTTAAGTTGTATACATTACCTTTTTAAAGATGTTTATTAAAAGTTCTTGAATTTAATTAATACTGTTAAATATGATGCCAATTGTATATAATGAGAAATGATTAAAAATTTATGTTTAATAATAAATTTGTAGTTATTTAATTTGACTCACTATTAAACACATATTCTTGGATGCCATTTTATATTACGTGAATATCAGTTAAGATGGATTTTTTTAATTTATTTGATTTAAATTCAACTGCAGCATGCACATTGAAATATGATCTAAATAGCAATGTTATCAATGATTTGTGTTACGATGTCTAATGATGTGAGGCAAACTCAGCACCATTAACTTATAAATCAGTAGTC